GACGTTCCCCTTCCCCGCCTTCCTCTGCTTCTCCCTTCGCTTGATAGGCCTCCTCTTCTTGCTGCTGCGCCACAAATCCACAACTTTACCCCATTCCATGTCATACTCAACCAGGCTCAGGCACATCAGGTCACTGAGCCTGGCATCACAGAGGCTGGTCCTCTGCCAGGACTTAATAACGTTCTGGCGGCTAAAGCCGCACTCACACTCGACGGTGCTGAGCGGCAGGACAGCCACCGCTGTCCAGAGGCGGACGAGGTTGGGGTAGCTCCGCTCCCAGTCCTTCGTTCGCAGCATGGCCGCCAGTCCGCGTTGAAATGTGCGCTCGCCTTTGGGAGCGCCAGCCAAAACAGGGACAAATGTCCTCAGTTCCCTCTTGGCGGCTCGCTTGTCCACACTTGCCACACATTACACACATAACAGTGATAGAAGAGCCTGTGATTCTGGTTATACACAGGGCAGCCTGCTCCCTTGGGCAGCCTGCTCCCTTGGGCAGCCTGTGATTCTGGTTATACACAGGGCAGCCCCTGGGGACGGAACATGCAATTTCCTGGTTAGGGACAGAGCAGGGACTAAACACGGAGTTCGCTGGTTAAACACAAGGCAGGGACAGACACAGAGTTCGCTGGTTAAACACAAAGCAGGGGCAGAGCAAGTAAAAGCGCTGGATGTACATAGAGCAGGGACAGAACTTGGCAGATTGTGAACATAGGACAGAATGGGTAAGACAATCTACTTGTGCTTACCCGGGAGGATGTCTGCTCGCTCGCGGGCATGGAACAAGTCGACGAGAGTCTCGCGACACTCCTCTGCGCGTCCCTCCTTGTCTTCAGGGTATGTGTCTGGCATAAAAAGCCGGACACCGTTCAAGCTTTCGAGATCCCCCAGCCTCTTCTGGAGGTGGGTGAGCGTCGAATTGGCGTGGCGGCGGCAGACGTCGAGGCACGACTGCAAGTCATCAGCTGTCTTGCTGTAGCCCGTCAATGCCTCCTCGTGCAGCTCAAAGCTATGTTGTCGCTTCTCCCCCTCCTTGTCCACACCTGCCACAGTGATTTTCGGAGACTTACTGAGCCTGGCTAGGAAGGCCCCGAGGTGTAGCTGTGGGCCGCCACCGAAGTCATCGCCGCACTCGATGTAGCGCGTTCGGATGGTGATCAGGGTGCGGCGCACGGTCGACTGCACCGATGCCATGTCGACCTGCAACATGACAAGGTACAGATTTTACAAGGACAGTTCAACCAGCACAGACAATGGTCTCGGGCTTACAAAGGCTACTCACATCCCGCCTCTGAAACTCCAGGTTGAGGGTGTTGAGGATGTTGAGCATGTCGGCGAGATAATAAAGGTACACATTGAACTTCACTGAAGTCACAATGTGGTACCAGTCGTCGTCCCACTCCCACAGGAGCACGATGACGGCAGGGAGAACACGCACCAAGCGCATGATGGCATCGCCGCGGCTCAGCCAACAAACTGAGTGAATTCCCTGCAGTTCAAGGCTTGTTTTGCAGAACACCTCCTGCAGCTCATGGAACTTATTGTGGGAGGGATGCGACCTCCCCAGGTATTCCGCGAGCTCCTTCAGGACATAGTCGATCAGGCCCAGCTCAGGGACTGCAGTGGCGGCGTCCTTGGCTGCCAGGGCCTCTCTGCACGACACGGTGTGGGCACGAGAGAACGGGAGGTTTGGTGTAAGGAGGGAGGAGTTGCATCGACTGTTTTTTCGGGCCGTTGCTGTCCGTCCACGAGGAGAACATGGAGCAGATCAAGGTCAAGTCTGGAGCGGGGAGGGAGGGAGGGGGGGGGGACAGGAAAGTAGGGGGGAAACAGAAAGGGTGGAGAATGGCATGAGCTTTAGATCATATGAGCGCCTGCCTGCCTTCCACTTTCTGCGCAACGTGATGGGCAGGTAGAAACAACACTTGCAAGCAATCAGTATTACTCACCGATGTGCAACGCAATGGCTGGAGAAGAGGTGCGGGACCATTACATGCAGCCGTGCCACCAGGCCGTTTGTGCTACCCATCATCGCACCTGCGCCATCCGTGCTAATCCCGGCCACCCTGCTCATGTCGATTCCAAGAGAGTCAAGTAGGGTCAGTAACAGGGAAAGCAACGAAGCGCCATCGCATTTCTCCACCGTTAGTAGACCAATGAATCCAGTGACTACACGAGAGTCACGGAGAAACGTGGCAAACACGATCTGGTGTTTGCCATGCACACGATCTGTGCTCTCGTCACAGGTAACTCCGATGAATGGACTAGACTGCAACCAGACTTGCTGACGAGCACGGAGATATGCTGCAGTGCTTGCGATGAGCTCGGCAAACCCGTATCTGCAGCAAACGGAACAAGGAACTGAGGGTTAGCAACAGTGATCAGGTTGTGCACAACCTCCATACAAAGGTTCTCGGGTATAGCAGCATTTGTTGATCGACGGCTCACCTGGTGTAATAAGCACCGTAGCCATTCTTCGGGAAGCCTGGTGTCTGTCGCTCTGCAAGGTGCCGAACGAATTGAACCCACATCTCAATCGGTGCGTCACATTTGCAGATGAACAGCAGGGTCTCCAGCAGAGCGATGACCCTTACGCGCTGGATGTCTCCGGCCTTTGGACAGTCGACGATGCGCTGCTGCTTCTCAGCCGCCTGCTCCACCAGGGCCTGTCTCTTGACGGACCGTTTGTGCTTCCTGGAGCTTTGATGCGTGCGGAACGCCTAGGTTTGGACGTCGACGGCTCCTTCGCCAGCAGCGCCGTAGTTTGTGCCGTGTCTTGCGTGCTTGATACACAAACTGCACCTCACTGATGGGAAACCGAAGGAAGTTTGACAAAGCACGAGCCACGGGAAATCCGTTGACCATTCCCTTTTGTACTTCATAAGCGCCTCCTGGTATTTATCCTCTGCCTCATCGCGCAGTTCCTCCGTAGATGAAGATGCAGCAGGAACGGCCGATGGTCCTGGTACAGCTGGCTCTAAGCGGATACGTACGGTGGGTTCCATAGGACTCTGGCGAGAGAACGCCAAGCGCGACTGTTTGTGCTTGGTAGCTCTTAATTTAGCAGTAGCGGCAGGGCCGATGCGTGTCGCACCAGGTGGCACAACGTTTGTGCCGTTCGTACTAGCAAGGGCGGGTGTGACTGCGGGAGTTCGAGATGAACCAGCAGGTGAGGCCGTTGGTAACGTGGACACCGCTCGAACTGGACGCAAGAAATCTAAGCCGGTAAGACCCCGTGATACTGGCGTCACGCGATCGTCCTCGTTGGCCATGACTAGTACGACTGAGCCAGCCGAGCTACACTTGTGCTACTCAAACAGCAACACTGGAAGAGTGTTGGTTGAGTTGGATGGAGGAGTGCTCAGAGAGACACCCCAGCTAGTGCATGCATGGCACACGACGAGTTGCCTTGCCCAACCTGTTCCCCCTAGTGAGATGGGTTTGTCTTGGCTGGTGCGTTGGGATCGGAACAGAACTCTCAACGAGATCGTGCGAAGGCGGGAAACACACACGGGGAAAAAAATCAACGGAGACAAAAAACCCCGGGGATCCCCCCCAAAAAAACGCGTCAGGGCTGGCCTCGATATTTATCCTGACGCTACAGGGGGGAACACTACGGCCCTCCTGAGAGTTCAGGGCATTGCATATAAAAACATCCTGGGACCTCAGGGTGAAAATTGGCACTATTCTGAAATGACAGGGTAAATTCAAAACTGCATCCTGAATTCAGGGTAATCAGGATGTTTTGCCCTGATAACGTGGGCCCTGAGCTGGAGGAGCAAATGACACATCTCAGAATGGCGAGCACGAGTCGAGGATGGACTACTGCAAGCGTGCTCGACGAAAGCGTACTGATGGCGGGTGTCGACTACTCGACGACGTCCTACATCACGCACGTCGTCAAAGGCTTGCCGAGCGGCTAGAACCTCATGCGCCGGATGATGGTGTTTCCCGATACGCGTGAGCCTCTCGACGATGACTATTGAAATGCACGAGGCCGTGTGGGTGTTTCTCCATAACAGGCTAAAAACCCTTTTAGATAAACCCCGGTGCTATAATGAAAAAAAATGGATAACTCCCCCCCCCCCCCCCCCCCCCCCCCAACAAAATCCAAAAAACGAGAAGCCGCTAGGGGCCTCTATATGGGGGAATACAATAAGACCCCCAGGTCCTTTAGCCAGGAGATGGCGCATTGGCGGTAATCGGGGACAAGATACCCAGTAGCTAGCGAATACACATAATCTGCCATTCTAGCACCTAGTTCAGTCTTGTTTAAACCGATGCAAGAAGTCCACTCTAGTCCTCAACTCCTGCAGTAGCACGGACTCTGCTCCCTCGCTCCATGACCCTGACCAGCGGAAGAGTGCCTGGGGTGTGGCAGAATGGCAAAGGAGTCACACGGCATAGTGAGGTGGCTACACGAGTGGATATGAGTTGATACAACAAAGCCTAGATAATCATTTACAGATCACACACACAGGCAGACACTTTCACTTTCACCTACTGCACACACCTGCATTTGCTGCATAAGTCTACTTGAGCGTTCATGAATCACACAGAGGCATGCACAAGATGCACTCACCTGCACCTGCTGCACTCGCCTGCTCTTTGCAGCACGCACCTGCACCTGCTGCACGCCCTTCTGCAGTATGGACACGTTTGCCTCCTCCAGCGTGGCTCGCATGGACGGCACGTCATAAGGGTCAATGTTGACAGAGAAGGAGCCATAGTTAGGCGAGCGCTGCCACAGGTTCTCAGAAGTGCATGCGCCTGCACCTGCACCTGCTGCATCAGTCTACATGAACATTCAGACTGGCGCACCTGCACCTGCTGCATACCTCTGCATGAGCAATCGCACAAAGACACACACCTGCACCTTCTCTACACCCTTCTGCAGCCTGGGCACGTCTGCCTGCTCCAGCCTGGCTCGCATGGACGGCACGTCATCAGGGTCGATGTTGACAGAGAACGAATCGTAGTTGAGTGAGCGCTGCCACGGGTTGTCATGCTCGCACGTCCAGAAGCACGTGCTTGTGGGGCGACGCCACGAAGCGGAAAATAGCCGTCCACTTGCGCAGCGTGGCAAAGGGAGACACGAACGGCACCTGGGCGCGCACGATCACGGGCACGGGGATGTCTCTGTCCGCCATGTAGCATGGGATGGAGGGGATGGTGGGGTCTGCTGGTGCGCCGTACTGGTATGATAGGAGCTGCACGGGTGGGGTGGGGGGGTTGAGGGGAGGGAGGCGGGGGGTAGAGGGGTGGGTGGGGATGAGGCGTTGGCATTGCTGCTTGCAGTCCGCTTGATGCTAGGGTTGCTACCTGCGTGTTGAAAGGAATGGGATAACACATCGTGACAATACATGAAGGTATGTCGGATGTCCCCATCCCCATGGGCTACCTACCCCATCCCCATGGGCTACCTACCCCATCCCCATGGGCTACCTACCTGCATGCTGGGATCGTTAGCAGCATGGTCACTGCGCACGAGCTTGTCTCCATTGTACGTGACAAAGAACATCTCGCCCACCAGCCGTGGATCCACAAACGTGAGCGAGTGGCAACGGCCGTGATCGAGCGTCAGGATGCCAAAGTGATCTCGGCCGTTGGTGCGGTTGAAGTAGGGGAAGGTGGTGCGGACGGCTTTCAGGACTTTCGTCCATGCCTGGTGGGTCCAAGAGGGTGGGGAATGGGGTTGGGTGGGACAAGCAAGGTCGGGCAAGGAAGAGAAACGAGGAGCGAGAACGGGAAGGAAGGCAGTGAGAGGGTGAGTGGGTGGGGAAGGTGCAGGTATGGCCGGGGTCTGGGTGGCAAGCCTTGCCAAAATCGCAAGATCCGAATTCGGCCCGAACTTTGTCACCCGAGTGAGGAGAGGCGTGCATGTGTGGCAATGCAAGAATGACTTCCATGGCCAACAGGCAGTCAGCAATCTCTGCTCCCTCCCGCCTCGTTCACAAACAACCTGTCCAAAAATTGACTGACGCACTCTGTGCGTGCTTTGTTTTTTGAGTTGACTGAAGAATCGATCGGCTCTCGCCTGAAAAGTACTAAGCATGGCTGCTGTTCCCACGACACGGCACTCACAAACAAATTCACCACCAGCTGCTGATGCACCTGCACACACGTGTGTGATACGCATGATGATGCTTCTTTGATAACAAAAAATAAAGGATCTCTTTGTACACAAGCATACGGCTCTCTCTTTCTCTGTCTGCCCGCCATACTAGCGATAATTATCGCGCCTCACCACCACCCACCCGTGAGCTCTTCTCGATGCATTGGCGCATGTTCGTCCAATCGTTGTGGAAGAAGGAGAAGAGGTAGTGCGACACGTAGAAGGGCACGAGTGTAGGGCTGCTTGCCTTACTACCAAATGCACCGCACTCAACCCACCCGTGAGCTCTTCTCGATGCATTGCCGCATGTTCTTCTTGTCGTTATGGAAGAAGGAGAAGAGGTAGCGCGACACGTAGAAGGGCACGAAGAACAGCGACGCCTGCTCGGGGTCCATGGTGCGCACGGGGTTGTCTGTACGCCTCATAAGCATCTCCGTTAAGTGCTTCTCTAAATCGTACTGCTCCGAGTACCACTCCAGCTCCAGCTTCAGCACTTTGGACGTCAGCTGCTTCCCCAGGTCGTACACGTACACGAATGGCCGCGTGGCTGCTGCGCCGCTCTCTTGCTCCGTTCCGCCGCCCTCCTGCTCCTCCTGATCGAACAGCTGCACGTGGTTACTCGGTAACTTCTCCTTCTCCTCCTCCTGTTGTTCTTGCTGCTGCGCTTGATTCGGCCGCTTTTTCTGTTGTTTCTTTTCTCGCTTCGCGAATACGCCCTCGCCGCTGAACCCCTGGGCTGCATTCGGGATGCACTCGACTGGAGCAGCTCTCCCGGTTCCGAGATAAGAGTGCAAGAAGCTCTCTTCCAGCGGCCATCGTATGATCAGAAGAACGAAGGCGGATAGAAGAAGCGCGAATAGTAGTGCTAACGTCAATGTGACTGCGCGAGGGCGCTTATAACGGGGGGAGCCGGGTTCCCGTGAGCCGCAGCAATCTATGCAGCTCCAGAGAGTCGCCTGGCGATCGCCTCGCGGCGACGACGCTCCGCCGCCGATGCGCGACGACGGAGCGTGCGACGGGCCATTTGCGACGACTCGTTTCGTCTTGACGGATCGCATGGCGGCGTGATCGCCGCCGCCGCCGCCGCCAGACGAATCCATTTGAGAGAGCGTGAGGGAATGACGCAATTGACGGTTGGGGAGCTGCGAGCTTTGCGCTTCGAGGCGCCTCGCGGACCACTATCGCAGAGCGTGCTTTTCGCGAGCGTATAGCGCTTCAACAAACTGCAATCGCCGTCGTGCTGCGCAATGTCTGCTCGTCCGCCATGCGGCGAGGGTTCCCTTGCCTACTGTAGCCAACTGTGAACGAAGCACTCCCAAAACAAAGTTGGTTGTGATCGTCCGCTGTTGGTTTGAATTCTGTTGTACTGTACGTTGAGCCTGGTGATCAGCGATTGAGTGGTGCGTCGAAAAACCAACTCCACTGCACATTATGGTGTCATGAACGAAAAGTTGTTCGTTGCAAGCTGGTTCAATGCGGTGACAGGCTAATGCCGAGGTTAGCGCGTTTGTCCCTTGGTTCGTTTTGTACGGTTAATTTTGTTTTGTCATGGTGAAAAACGGTAAAGCTTGATTCCAAACGGTGCACAGCGGCTATCGAGAACACCTTCACAATGTACCACTTCCTGACCGCAAAACTCAGACATAGTTCATAAGGGGTCATTCTGGATTACAAACCTCGGTGACACGGTAAAATAGGGGTCAGATCTCAATCCCTTACCAGTTACATTACTCCGCGACCTAATGACTCCTCGTTTCGTTGACCCAGCACCGGCTGCCGACGTCCCCCTAGCGACAGAATCGCTCAGCGAGCGGGCGGAGGCCGTTGCGGCGGAGAGAGATGTGCGGGCGGGTGTGGGGTTAGCGGAGGGAAAGGGGCGAGGCAGGGCGGGCGCGGCGGATAGTGGGGAAGGGGATGACGTGGGGTCGGGGGCTGGCGCGGCGGGTGTAGATTTGCGCCTGGAGAAAGAACCGGACGGTTTGACAACTTTTGCGTCAGCATCCACGTCAACATCAACGTTAACGTCAGCGTCAGAGTTGTCGTTGGCTCGTCAGACGCGAGAGATTGCATCGCTGGATGCCGATTTTTCCAAAGAGCGGAATGAAAGCGCTACAGCGGCAGAGCGCAACGGGCGCGGTGACGAGGGGGACCGCCGCGCGCAGCCGTCGCTGATGCGCGGAGCGGCGGGTAGCGCCGCCACCCCTGCAGGTAACGGCGACGGCAGCAGCAGCAGCAGCAGCAGCAGCAGCAGCAGCAGCAGCCGCAGCAGCATCAGGGGCGGGGATGCACCGGCAGGAGCACCGGACGATGGCGATGGCGAGAGCAGGATGAGCGCAAGGCGGGGCGGAAACTACAGCGCTGGTAGTGGCGGAAGCGGAGGTGGCGCAAGGGGGCGGGGGAGCAGCGCGAAGCGAGCGATAGTGACGCCGTGGGGATCGCTGGTTGAGGAGGCTATGCTGCCGTGTGAGAGAGAAGGGGGAGCGCGGGGGAGGGCGGAAGAGAGGGGGAGGGTGGGGGAGAGGGGGAGGGGGAGGGGGGGCGGGAACTCGGTGAGAGGAGCAGAATGGGGAAGGTGGGGGGGAGGGCTGTGGACGAGAAATGGCGGGTTCAGTGTGATTCTAAGCAGAGGTGACTCAATCGAAGAGCGAGTGGTGAGCCTAGGAGGGCCATCAACAGCAGCAGGCGGTGAGCCTATGCCCCCATCAGCAGCCGTGGCACGAGAGTCAGCACGAGCGGGGCACATGGGGTCTGAGGCAGTCCGACCAGCACCATCCGCGCTATCGTCGTTATCCTCCTCCTCCTCCTCTGCCTCCTCCGCTTGCTCCTCCCCGCCCAGGCTGTTCTCGTTATGCACTGATTCGATAGTGGCAAACATCCACCACGTCTCGTCGCTGCAGGGCCTTCCTGAAGACATCGTGCTGCTGCTGCTGTGGGTGAGTGCGGCTGCTGTGGGTGAGTGCGGGTGCTGTTGTGGGTGAGTGCGGGTGCTGAGGGGTAAGCGCGGGTGCTGAGGGGTAAGCGCGGGTGCTGAGGGTTAAGCGCGGGTGCTGAGGGGTAAGCGCGGGTGCTGAGGGTTAAGCGCGGGTGCTGAGGGTGGCTTCTGGCGTTGCTGGTTGGGTGGTGCTCCCTGCACCATGCACAATGCCACCACACCTCCATTCCCCTCTCCACTTCTCCTTCACCCCTGATTTCCCTCAGCATTCCTTTCCCCCTGACTCACCCGCTTCCCCTCCATTCCCCCCTCCCTCCTTTATCTCTCTCTCCTCCCTCCACACGCAATCAGCCAACACGCCAGAGGGGTGGCGTGACAGAGCGAGTGCTGGGGGTGTTCCGGGCGACACAGCGCGCACTGGTGGAGGAGGCGGTGGTGCTGCTGGTGGGCCTCACCCACCACCCCCATGAAATGATTTTTTTTTTTGTAGACTTCTAAAAAATTCACTCATTTCACGTGGCCACCACCCTCCTGCGCCATCTCCCCTTCCCCCCCCTTCCCGCCCCTTTCCCCCCCTTCTGCATTTTCCTCTCCCCCATCAGCGCACACTTCAGAGAGGAGCACTGACAGAGCGAGTGCTGAGAGTGTTCCGGGCGACGCAGCATGCACTGGTGGAGGAGGCGGTGGTGCTGCTGGGGCTCACCCACCACTCCCCCGCACCCATCCTCCCCACTCGTACGCTCTTAGCTGCTAATGTGCCAATTACAGTCTCTTCCTGCTCCCTGCACACACTCTCTGCCTCTCGTCTCTCTTGTTGTGGTGCTGCTGTCCCTCACCTACCACTCCCCTGCGGCCATCCTCCCCACTAATACACTCTCACTTTCCTCCTCCCCACTCGTATGTTCTGACAGTGCTCTCACCTTGCACCAGCTGCTATCGTGCCACGTATAGTCTCTCTGCCTGCTCCCTCCACACTCTCTGCCTCCCTGCTTGTTGCTGCCCTGCAATCTCCCAGACTCTGCATGTGCTTCTGCTCTCCCCTTCCCTTCCCCTGCTCCCCCTTCTCTCACTCACCTCTTTTTTTCCCTTCTTCTCCTCACGCAACCTCCCTTTCTCCTCCTCTCCTCCCCTCTCTCCCCGCACTGCAGGCTGCACCGACAACTCTCTCCGCTGACAGCTTAAAGCCACTGATGCGCCCAATGTGTATACAGAAGTCACTTCACATCAGTGCACACTACAGAGAGGACTCAGACCGGGCTCGCATGTTCCTTGATTCTCCAGCACGTGCATGCCCCTCGGGCCTCGGTACCTGCATCGCCCACAAAAGCTTGCAGTGGGGTATTTCCTTTGGGACATTGGGGCCAAGTAGGGTAGAGTATTGTAGGAAGGGAATTTGCCCACAACTGTTGGGTGCTGATCAGCAGCAGCACTGGTCAGCAGCCGTGTGTGCCACCATACCGTAGTAGCTCTCTATCGATCCCCCATTGGTGTAAAGCTGGCAAGTTCTTTGAGAAGTTTGCTTGATACGTTTTGCAAGCTGAGGTGTAACTACAATTCTCCCAGTGTACAGTATCTGAGCTTCAGAATCCATCTGCTGTATGGTGTGGTCCGTGGACTACAACGCTTTAATCTATGGTACCGTCATCGCCCGGATATAAGACAGTGTCTTTAAAACGGGTGTATCTTATAAATGGGTGTTCCTGATTATTAGACACCTGTCGGTGTGTACGAGTTAAGCCAGTGTAGGGGTTAGGGGTAATCTTATGACGAGGGGTTATCTTCTAAACGGCTCTTTATCTATTTATAAGAATTATAAGACACCATAAACCACCCAAATTACAAGACAACCCAAGCATTTTTTCTAGTGTATAAGATAAGACATATATGTCTTATATCCGGGCGATGACAGTATGAAGTTTCATGGCTGTGCTCCCTCTGCTAAGACTCCTTCCTAAGCATAGCAGAACCACAACAAAAGCAGTGCTGCAGAGCAACATGCAACACAAAATCATATCCTCATCCGTTGCGGTTCTGCTCCTTCCACTGCACTGCATAAACCCACAACATTCACATCACTCCAACCCTCCCTTCACTCCTTCTCGCGGGCCTTAATCGCAGTTCCCTCTCCCGCACCATGTCAACCACCTCCCCCCAGTGCTCCCTGCTGCACTGCAAGACCGCTGCAGCGCACGCACCCACCCCTCTCTTCCACAACAACTCCCTCTCACTCCAGCAAGTCCCTGATCTGAGGGTTCTCTCGGATCTTCGCCGCGGTCTCCCTCGCCCTGACCATCATCTCCACCACCTCGCGCATCATCGGCCGCTCATCCCCATCCTCTGCCACGCACACCAGCGCCACCTTGAGGAACTGCAGCATCTCGTCGCCACTCTCCGCCGCGTCCGCCATGCGCGGATCCAGCGCCTCCCCCGGCTGCCCCGCCTGTATGGTCGCCCGCACCCACCCTATGAGGTCGCCCGTGCCGTTGTCTGTGAAGGCCGGGTCCACTGGCGGGCGCGCTGTGAGCAGCTCGAGAAGGACCACGCCGAAGCTGTACACGTCGCCGGCAGGCGTTGGGGGGGTGGGGCCCGCTGAATATTCTGGGGGATGGGAGGAGCGGGGAGGGGGAAAGGGGGAAACAGGGGGGCATGGGTGGGTGGGCGGTGAGGAGTTCGTTCGAGGAGCACGACGCTGTAGACGTCGCCGGCTGGGGTTGGGGGGGTGGGGCCGGCGGAGTATTCTGGAGGATGGGCGGGCGGAGAAGGAAGAGGGGACAGAGGGGGGTAGCGGGGTCAGGGGCCAAGGGGCAAGGGCGCGAGGAAATAGAGGAGGGGTTAGGGAGATGCGACGAGGTCCCCTGTGCTGTTGTCAGTGAATGCCGGGTCCAGTGGACGGCGAGCGGTGAGCAGCTGGAGGAGGACCACAGCGAAGCTGCACACGTCGCCTTCTGGGGTTGGGGTGGTGCGGTCTGCTGAGTACTCTGGGGGATGGGTGGGGGGGCAGGGAGCACGGCGGCAAGGGGACAAGGGAGAACGTGGGGAGGGAGTTGTGATGAGGTCGATCACTCCACTATGCTATGTTGTGTTCACGGGGAGGTGGCGTGTGAGGACCCCTGACAGCATGACTCAAAAGGTGCAATCAGCTGGAGTGCTGAGTACTGGAGAGGAGAGGGGGGTCCCATGATCCCATCCGCATGATCCCATCCGCATGATCCCATCCGCATGATCCCATCCGCATGATCCCATCCGCATGATCTCATCCGCATGATCTCATCCGCCACATACCGGGCGGCGTGTACCCCATGATCTCATCGGCCACTTGCACATCATCCGTATCAAATGCAATCCGAGCCACGCCCATGTCGGCAAGTTTTGGCTCCATGCGGCCGTCCAGCAGCACGTTCCCCGGGTGCACCGCCCCATGCGCCATCGGCCCGCCGCCCATGCCGCCCGCGCCGCCCGCCCCGCTGTGCAGGAAGGCGAGGCCGCGTGCCACCCCCATGGCCACCCGGAAGCGCACCGGCCACTGCAGCGACTTGCGTGACGCCAGCTGGCGGTCGGGAGGAGAGCGGGCGGGAGGGATGGGTAGGATGACTTTTTGAGATTTTCACAAGTGACTCCCTTGCCACCCCCATGACTCCCTTGCCACCCCCATGACCACTCAGAAAAGCACCGGCCACTGCAGCGACTTGCGAGATGCGTGGCGTGGGGAGGAGAGCGAGTGGGAGGGATGCGGAGGATGAGAGAGGAGGGGCAGAAGTGTGAGGTGGGAGGTGCAGGGTGGAGCGCAAGCAAAGGTAGCAAGTGACGGCGGGTGGCGCGGATGTGGTCAGGGCGAAGCAGGAGCGGATGTGGTCAGGGCGAAGCAGGAGCGGATGTGGTCAGGGCGAAGCAGGAGCGGATGTGGTCAGGGCGAAGCAGGCAGGTGATGGTGGGGGAAGGGCATGTGCGCGAGCACACTGTGTCGCATGTGGGGCAGCAGTACACGTGGGGCAGCAGTACACGTGGGGCAGCAGTACACGTGGGGCAGCAGTACACGTGGGGCAGCAGTACATGTGGGGCAGCAGTACACGTGGGGCAGCAGTACACGTGGGGCAGCAGTACATGTGGGGCAGCAGTAGATGTGGGGCAGCAGTACATGTGGCATGTAAAAAGAACTCACCTCATCATAGAGGAACTCCCGCAGGACCCCATAGGGCATGTAGTCCTACAGCACATGTGGCATGGCATGTGGTCCTGCAGCACATGTGGCATGGCATGTGGTCCTACAGCACATGTGGCATGGCATGTGGTCCTACAGCACATGTGGCATGGCATGTGGTCCTACAGCACATGTGGCATGGCATGTGGGAACTGACCTCGTCATACAGGAACTCCCGCAGGTCCCCATGGGGCATGTAGTCATACAGCAACACCCTCATGGACTCGCCTGACCCACTAGTCTCACACATGTACAGCAGCATATGTGGCATGTCACCGTTGCACATGTATGAACTGACCTCGTCATACAGGAACTCTCGCAGGTCCCCATTGGGCATGTAGTCGTACAGCAACACATGAGGCATGTGGGAGGGGAGCAGCAAGGTCATTCGTATCAAGGCAGCTCACCTCATCGTATAGGAACTCCCGCAGGTCACCGTTGGGCATGTAGTCGTGCAGCAACACGCACATGGACTCGCCTGACCCATTATATGTAGCATGTAGCGGCACAGTAGCACATGAGGCTTATGAGTGGGAGGGAGCAGCAATGGTATTGGAATTAGAGCAGCAGCGCGGCTGACCTCATCATACAGGAACTCCCGCAGGTCACCGTTGGGCATGTAGTCGTACAGCAGCATGCGCACAGCCTCGCCTGACCCACTAGTACCGCCACAAGTGACATGCAGCAGCACGACAGCACATGTGGCATGGCATGTGGAAACTGACCTCATCGTAAAGGAATTCCCGCAGGTCACCGTTGGGCATGTAGTCGTACAGCAGCACCCTCATGGGCTCGCCTGACCCGCCTGCGCCCTCCCAGCACCCCACCACCGGCAGAATGTTGTCGTGCCGCACTGCTGATAGCAGGCGTGCCTCGTGCTGCATAGGTAGCGGGGGAGGAGGGCAAGGTGGGGAGAGTGGGATTGAGTTTGAGATGTATCAACAGGCGTCCTTCCAGCACCCCACCACTGGCAGAATGTTGTCTTGCCTCGCCGCTGCTCGCAGGCGTGCCTCATGCTGCTCGCAGGCGTGCCTCATGCTGCTCGCAGGCGTGCCTCATGCTGCTAGCAGGCGTGCCTCATGCTGCTCGCATGGTTGGGAGAACGTGGGGTTTTGGGGTGTATGGTGGTGCTGTGTGTGTGTGGCGCTGCTGGGTGGTGATATTGTGTGGTGGTAAGATGTAGTGGTGCAACATGGTTGGAGCAGGTGGAAGCTCAATGCGGTGCTCGGTAGAATGTGCATCATCATGCCAGCATCAATTAGGATATCTGATCATTTGGAAAATCTTTCCAACTTTCTCCCTCCTCTCCTTCCCCCACCCCCATCCCATATCCTTCCCTCCTCTATCCCCCATCCTTTCTCCTCCCATACCCCTTCTCTCACTTACTATGCCCCGCCTCTCCTTGCTCCCCTTTCCCACGCCCCTCTCCCCTCTTCTCCCCTCTTCCATACCCCTCTTCCTCCTCCTCTCCCCTCACAAACCCCTCCTCCCCTCACAAACCCCTCCTCCCCCCCTCCCCCCCCCCCCCACGCTACCATGCCTCTCCCTCTCCCCTTCTCCCCCCCCCCCAGACTCACCTCAAACACAAAGTTGACGGCATCTCCCCCCGGCAGGGGCGGCAGCTGCTTCGCGACAAAAACCGCCGCCCCGTCCGCCATCTCAGCCAGAAACGACACTGCCCCGCTCGGGCCCGCCCCGCCCACCATCATCTGCCCGGGCCCGAAATTTTCCGTGGCTGCCCGGAGGTCGTCCACATGCATTGTCTGCCCGTTAAACATTGTGACAAGCTGCTGGGATGCTGACGAATGCCTGCCGCCCGCTATCCCTGCTGCCGCCCCTGCCATCGCCCCCCCTGCCGCCCCCAGTATCCCCATCTTAGCCCCCCCTCCCTCCCCCCCGCCTCCCCCTAAAAAACCCCCCAGCACCCCTCCGCCCCCTCCCCCGCCCCCACCCCCGCCCCCTGCCCCTGCTGCTGCCCACGCGCGCGATTGGGCAGAGGAGGAGTAGGGCTGGTTGATGGTGAAACAGACGCCCATGAGCAGCGCGCCGAGCACCGCTGAGAGGGAGAAGGCGAATATGGCACTCACTGGCATGGGCTTGGTGGTGTTGGATGGCAGCACCATGCGGTTGAGCAGCTGGGGGGGGGCGAAGATGGATGGGGGGGACGGGGGTGATGGGGGAGGCGGAGGGGGGGATGGGGGGGATGGGGGGGATGGAGGGGGTGATGGTGGCGGGGGAGGGGATGGGGGGAGAGGAGGTGGGGATGGGGGTGGGGGTGATGGGGGGGATGGTGGGGGGGGGGATGGAGGAGGGGAGGGAGGGGGGGAAGGCGGAGGGGATGGGGGGGGTTGGGATGGTGGTGGGCTTGGGGGGGGAGGGGAGGGCGGGGGAGAAGGGGGGGGACGGGGAGGGGGACTTGGGGGACTTGGTGGGGGGAGAGGTGGGGGGGATGGGGGAGGCGAGGGGGGCGGAGGGAGAGGAGGGGGGTGAGGAGGGGGGCGGGGCGGGGGACGCGGAGGGGGGAGAGGAGGGGGGAGCGGAGGGGGGCGAGGGGGAGAAAGAGGGGGGCTGGGTGGAGGAACAGGAGGGGGTACGGGAGGGGGAACGGGAGGGGGCAAACGGGGCGGAATGGGAGGGGGGCGGGGGGGAGGTGAGCGAGGAGGGGAGGGCGGCTTCAAGAGAGGAGGGGGCGGTTTGGGGGAGGAGGGGGGCGGGAAGGGCGGGAGAGTGGGGGGAACAGGAGGGGGCCTCAAGGAGGGTGGCTTGGGGGGAGCGGGGGGAGGGCGCAGGGGAGGGGGTAGTGGGGGAGAACGGGGGGGGGAGCGGGGAGGAGGTCGGGGTGAGAGGGGAGGGGGGCGAGGAGCAGGTGGGGGGGAGCGAATTGGGGGCGGAATGGGAGGACTGTAGGGCGGAGGCTCAACATAAGGGGGTGGGGGAGGGGAGAGCGGGGGGAGAGGGGCCATGGGGACGGGCAGGGGGAAGAGAGTCGGCGGGGGGAAGATAGGGGGAGCAATGGTAGGGGGAGGGCGGACAGCAGGGGGAGAGGCGCAGTTCCCAGTGCAGAGGCCAGGGTTGCCGGCAAAGGAAGAAGGCGGAAAGCTTCCTAGAACGCCATCGGTGGGGATGGGTCCTGAGAGCTGGTTTGCAGAGAGGTTGAGAGCGGTGAGCGCGGTGAGCCCATTGAGGGTTGGGATGGTGCCGCTGAGCCCGTTGCTGCTCACGTCCAGCCTCTGTAGAGTGGGTGTGGGCGGGCAGGTAGGCAGGCAGGCGAGTGGGGTGGGGAGGGGGAGAGAGAGGGGGGGGTGTGATTGAGAGGAGGGAGTGGGGTGGGGAGGGAGAGAGAGAGGAAGGGGTGTGATTGAGAGGAGGGAGTGGGGTGGGGGCGCCGCTGAGCCCGTTGCTGCTCACGTCCAGCCTCTGTGGGGGATAAGGGGGTCAGAACAACATGCAAACAGGCAGGCAAGGAGGGGGAGCGAGAGGGGGGGAAGAGGGATGGTGCCAGTTCAGTTCAGTTCAATGCGGAAGCCCACTTTGAGGCGCCTCAAAAGACTGCCCTCAGCAGCGACGCCAGACTGCCCATCAGCAGCGACGCCAGACTGCCCATCAGCAGCGACGCCAGACTGCCCATCTGAAGTGGCCAGTTCAGTTCCTGGCCATACCAGTTCATCTCACAGAGCAGCCCATTCCAGCTCTCATGCCCCCCTGCCTTACAACCCCTCTCCTGTTTTCACCCCCCACCCCCCTGTCAGCCCTCCCTGGCTTCACTTCACCCTCCTCCGCTTTGACACCCGCCTACAGAGCAGAGGGTTTGTTGAGGCCGGACGGGTTGCTGACAGCTGGTTGCCGTTCATCACAAGCGATTATTGACCTCTCATCCCCCCTTTTCCGTCAACCCTCCATGCCTGCACTGCACCCTTCCCTGCTTTGGACCCACCTGAAGAGCAGAGAGGCCGTTGAGGGCGGAGGGGATGCTTTCAGACAGCTGGTTGCCGTCCATCACCAGCGAGGTCAAGCTGCCCATCTGCCCCCACGTGGGCGGGATGCCGCCCGCCAGCTGGTTGCCGCCCAGATCCAATGATTGCAGGCGCGGCGCGTAGCCGAGAGCGGGCGGCAGGAAGCCGCTGAAGCTGCAGCCTCGAGCTGAGATCACCTGGTGGGTTTGAGGGGAGGGGGGGAGAGGGGCGAAGAGAGGCAGAGAGAGGTGAAGAGACGTGAGGAGGGGCCGGGACGCTGAGCACTAAAAGTTGAGTCACACACGTTGTGCGATTGTCGTGCACTATGGTAAGTGGTAGTTGATTCCTCGCATCCATTTTCACAGATACGAATCCACTCACACACACAAACTCACACAAACTCACAGTCACACTCGCATGCACCTGCAGCGAGGGCAGCTAGACGAGCACAGCAGGGCTGGGCGGCCAGTGAACCCCACATTGCCATCCAGCACCAGCCATACCACGCTCGCACATGCACACACCCTCTTACTCACACACACACTGACACACCTGCAGCGAAGGAAGGGACCCCAGTACGGCAGGACTCAACGACCCACTTAGCCCCTTGTTGCCATCCAGCACCAGCTGAGACACCTGCCGCAGCTGCGACAGATTGTCCGGTAGCGGCCCCTCAAGGCGGTTACCACTGACGTCCAGCGAGAGCAGCGACTGCATGGCTGCCACGTCCTGGGGCAGAGGGCCTGAGAGGGTGTTGTCACTGAGGTCAACGGTGGCGAGCATGGGCAGGTTGGAGAAGAGCGTTGGCGGGATGATGCCGTCCAAGTCATTGTTGGCTAGCTCTAGCACCTGGGAGGGGGAGGGGAAGGGGGAAGGGAGGGAGACAGGGAGGGGGGCAGTGAGGAGGACTCTAGTCACTCCTGCAAGTGGCATGGCGCGGAGGGGGATGAGCTCCTGAGCGGGCATGCAGTGACCTCACCCAGGCCACGCGTGGACCTCAATTGACCTCACCCAGGCCACGCGTGGACCTCAATTGACCTCACCCAGGCCACGCGTGGACCTCAATTGACCTCACCCAGGCCACGCGTGGACCTCAATTGACCTCACCCAGGCCACGCGTGGACCGCAATTGACCTCACCTGCGGGCTACGGATAGCAGCGACGAGTCGAGTCGGGGATGGAACCGGAGGAGAGGTTGTCCGCCAGCTTCCAGTGAGGCGGGCCCTGGTCACTCGTGCAGATCGTGTGTGCACACGCATTGACCTGTAGCAGTGAGGGGACCTGTATGCATGGCTCACCTGCAGGCCATTGATAGAGATAGAGACACTGCAGTCGGGGAGCGAGTGGAGGATGGAGCCGAAGAAGAGGTGGGCCCTGAACATTCGTGCAAATGGGATGAAATCCCGTGCGGGCATGTGTGGGTGCGCCTCCTCTGTGTGCACATGCATGAAGGTCACCTGTAAGCTGCGGATAGAAGACAGCGAGTCGGGGATGGAGCCGGAGAAGAGGTTGTCCGCCAGCTGCAGGCGCTGCAGCGATGTGAGCGCTCCTAGAGGCGGGTCCTGGAAGGCCAGGTCGCCGAGAAGTGACGCTGCTGAGAGGTCTAGACCAACCACCTGGCGGGGGGAGAGGGAGGCAGGGGGAGAGGGAAAGAGATGGACAGCGATGTGAGCGCGCCCAGGGGCGGGTCCTGGAAGGCCAGATCGCCCAGGAGCGACGCTGCTGAGAGGTCTAGACCCACCACCTGGTGGGAGGGTGGGTGGGGAGAAGGAGTGGGAGACAGCGATGTGAGCACGAGCGCGCCCAGGGTGGGTCCTGGAAGGCCAGGTCGCCCAGGAGGGATGCCGCTGAGAGGTCTAGTCCCACCACCCGGTGGGAGGGTGGGTGGAATAGAGGAGGAGAGTGGGGGCGAGAGGGTGATGAGTTGAGTCAAAGGGGGGATGCGGCCAGGGGGGAGATGAGGCGAGGGAATGAGGCAAGCAAGGAAATAAAAATAACTGACCTGCTGTGAGAAGGGGTTGCATTGCACGCCCGTCCAGGAGCAGGGGGTGGGGTCCTTTGGGTTCCAGTTATCCAGCGTGCCTGGTGGCGCGGCGGTGGAGGGGCCGTGTGATGTAGGGGCATAGAGAAGGATGGAGGGTTTAGGGATGTGGGGATGGGGCAGTGGGTGGAGGGGGTGAGGTGAGGTGAGGTGAGGTGAGGTGAGGTGAGGTGAGGTGAGGTGAGGTGAGGTGAGGTGAGGGAATAGAACAGGGAGAGACGGAAAGGGAAGAGAACGAAAAGAGAGTGAACGAACGAGGAGGAGAGCAATGGGGAGGGAGGGAACAGAATGGGAGGGCAATAAAGCAAAGGGAGCATCGCATGCATGAGCTTGGTCACACCAAGAGACGCCATTCCATGGCTGCACACGGCCTGGTACTAACCTGAGGGGTCGCTGAGCACATGGCGCACCTGAGGGGTCACTGAGCACGTGCAGCTTGAGGTTGAGCAACACTTGCTTGTCCGTCTCCACTGACTGCCAGTCCACCCGCCCCCCTGCTGCTGCTCTCACCCCTGCGCCCCTTTCCCCACCCCCAACCCCTGCTGCCGCTGCTGCTGCCGCTGTATCCCCTCTCACACTGTTGCCACTGCCGCCGCTGCTGCTGCTGCTGCCTGCGTCGCTGAAGCTGCTGGCACTAGCAGGGAGGCGGGGTGGAAAGGAGGTGAGAGGCGCAATGGGGATGGGCGGGGCATGGGCTGCAGGAACAGTATAAAGCAGAGAGGAGCTGTGGCCATGGGAGTGGTGTTGCTGGTGCAGTGACACATGGTGTGGCGTCAGCAGGTCAGCTCCCCCATCCTCTTGCTGCCACTGCCACTGCCCCTGTCCCATCGCCCCCGTCTTCCCCCCTCCCACCTCAAGCCGCATGTCACTCTGCTCTGCCTGCATCCCCATCCCCTCCCACTGCCCCTGCTCCTCCCTACCCCTCTCTGCCCTCCCGCTCGTCTCTGCCCTCCCAAGCCTCTCGCCATCCCCTGTATGCTGCGAGTGCCAAGCGCTGCGGTGTGCTGTCGTCCCCTGCCCGCCATCGGCCCCGAATTGCCTGCTTTCACCGCCACTGCTCAACCCATCCGGGCTGTCCTGCACTCTCCCCCCACCAGCCACCTCCCCCGGCTCCCCTACCCGCGCCACCACAGCCTCCTCTGCTGCCTCCCCGCGCCCACCCACGCGCTCCCTGTGGGCCTCACGCCCCCCTTGCCCAATCCTCTCGGCTTCTCGCCCTCCGCCCCTAACGCCCACTTCTCCCTCACCCGCTGCCTCCCATGCGTCCTCGCCTCCCTGCTTGCCGGCCTCGCCTTGCCTCCACGCTGCCCCCTCCGCCCCGCTGTGTGCAATCTCCTCCCCATGCCGCTGTGCCATCAGTCCCCCGTGGAGTGTCGGCCTGTGATGCTCTCTCTGAAGCTTCACAGCACCTTCGCCCACATCCCCATGCCCAGCCGTCCCCTCTGCCACATTCCCCATCCTTCCACTCTCTGCCCATGCACCCTCTGCCCCTCTATGCCCCTCCACTCCCTGCTTTAGCACCGTTGGCCGTGTGTGCAGCGCTGGTCGGTGCTGCTGCCCGCCTAGCACAATCCAACTCATGTCTTCATCCCCATCCCCAACCAATGCCTCTGCTGCCCGCTCCGCCCCGCTATGCCCCTCCATGCCCTGCCGCAGCACCATTGGCCGTGTGTGCAGCGCTGGATGGTGCTGTTGCCCGCCTTGACGAATCCACCTTGTGTCTTCACCCCCGCCTTCAGCCATTGCCATTGGTTCTGCTGCCGCCTCCGCCCTCTCCTCCCACGCCTCCCCCTTCCGCGACATCTCACCATGCACGCGGTGCATCTCCACGCCCTGACGAAGCACCGTTGGCCGCGTGTGCAACGCTGGTCGGTGCTGCTGCACGCCATGCACGGTCCAACCTGCTTCTTCATCCCCACTCACAGCCCCAGTCTGAACTACCCCCACCTCCTGCCTTCCGCCCAGCGCCACCTCCCACTGCAACCCCTCTCCGTGCACTCCCCCACTTCCCCTCCCTTCACCTCGCCTCTCCTCCCTCCCACCAACAAACTCTGTGGCCCACGCCTCGCTGCCACCTCCGACCACAGTGCTGCCCCTTCCCTGCTGCGCGCTGCCTTCACCCTCCCTGTGCTGCGCGCTGCCTTCACCCTCCCTGTGCTGCGCGCTGCCTTCACCCTCCCTGTGCTGAGGGCTGCCTGCACCCTCCCTGTGCTGCGCGCTGCCTTCACTCATGTGGAATGTGCTGCGATGGCCTTCTCGCCTCTCCTCGTCGCTCTCCCCTGCCACCTGTACCCCTCCAGCCCCCGCCCCGCCCTGCTCCTGCTGCCCCTTCGCCTCCTGCTGCTCCTGCTGCGTCTGCGGATGATCCTGCTGTGAGTGTTGTGCGTGTTGCATGTGCTGCATGTGCTGCATCGGCTGCACCGGCTGTGTGTGAGGAGTGGGGTGCAAGTACAGCCCAGCGCCCATGGGTGCATCACCGTGATTACCATTCCGCTCCACTGCACCATGCACGTGCCACCTCCCGTGCCCCGCCCCTTCCGTGCGCCCCCCACCCTCACCCATTGCATCACCGGCACTGACCCCCTCCCCTGCCTGCTGCTGCTGATCCTCCTTGCTCGTACCCCCCTGCAACCGCTCATGATGCATCTGCTCGTGGTGCACCCACCAACTGCTCCTCCCCTCGCCACCCACTCCCCTTCCTCCATCTCGCTCCCCTCTTCCCCCCTGCCCTCCTGGCCTTGCAACCAGCCCAGCGACTTCCTCCCCTTTCCCCGCCTCTCCTTCTTCTTTTCCCGAGCCCCCACCGTCGTCACCCTCAGCAATAGCCGAGAGTTCAATGGGGAGAGGAGGACCCTCACCCGGGGATGCACGCTCGTGCACTGGCGCATGGGGCAGGGGCGCATGGGGCAACGGAACATGGGGCAACGGTGTGCCAGCGCTCCCCCCTCCGCCGCCCTCGCTGGCGGCGGCAGTGAGCGCCAGCAACGGGGCGGGGGGAGCCCCATGCGCCACCTCGTGCGCGTGCAGCCGCGCATGGTGTGGGCGGCTGCCCATTCCCCCTTCCATGCCCTCTTTCCCCCCTATATGCCCACCGCCCTTGCCCATTGCTGTGCGCGCAAGCAGTAGCGGGGGAGGCGGAGGGGGAGAGGGAGGGGGAGAAGGATGGGGAGGGGGAGATGCGCGTATGGCCGGGTGGCCGTGCAGCAGCGCATGGTGCCACGCGCGTGGCACGCCCCTTCTCCCCCGCTCGCCTCCCTCGCCTCCCTGCGCATGCCCCACTCTCTCCTCGAGCTTCGCTTCCTCCCCGCCCCTCGCTCTCTCCTCGTGGCCTATCTTCTCGCTTCTCTCCCCCATCACAGCCCGCACACCATCCCTCCCACCATCTCCTCCACCCCCTTCCCTACCAGCGTGTGCGCCGCTCGTCTCACCCGCTGCCATTGCAGCAGCAGACACACCTGCCCACTCATCGCCCCCCTTTCCGTCGCTCCCTCCTGCCTTCTCATCACTCCACTCCGCTTCCGCCACCCGTCCGCCCCATTCCGCATCCCTCGCCCCGCCATGGGAGCGCCACACAGAGTGGTGCGCGAGCGCCCCACCCCTCTCCGCCTCCACCGCCCCATCCGCCCCATTCGGCACAGCTGCATCCGCTCCCGCAGTCACGCCAGGAGCTCCCGCGCTAAACGTCGTCTCCGCCGCGCCCGCGCCCCCGTTCGTGCTGGCCATTTCCGCCTCCCTCCGTCCGCCGTCCGCCTGCCTGCTTCCCCCCTGCCCGCCGTCCCCCTGCGCGCTCCTCCGCTGTCTGCTGGAGTGCCACTGCGCGCGGTGCACCATCACCCCTCCCCACGCTGCCGCCTCCCCCCATGCCATTGTCGCCGCGTCCCCTTCCCGACTGCCTCGCGCTCCCCCGCTCTTCCCCCCATCCCTCCCCCTCGCCCCCAACCCCATCCCTATCCCCATGCCCACCCGCTCAACCCGCTCGCCCGCCCGTGCTTCCCCCTCTCTGCCGCGCACATCTCTCTCCGCAGCAATCCTTTCCCCTTCCCCTCCGCGGCTAACCATATCCTTTCCGCCATTTGCTTCCCCGCCATAATCTCCCCCGCCCCATCTCCACGCGGCGGTCCCCATCCCTTCCGCATTTCCCCCTTCCGCCTCCCCGCTAGCCCTCCGCGCGGGCTGCGACGGTTGTGGGGAATGGCGCGACTGCGTCTCAACGTTGCGCCAGTGGGCGCTGCCTGCCAATAAGGCCGAGCCACGTGGCGAGAGCGAGACGACGCAGCTGAGGAGGAGGATGGAAGCGCGGAGGAGCGACGGCGGCCGTCGAACGCGCCGAGCCGAGGAGGCCCAGCGGGACTGACGCGACGACAGGCGGCGTGCTTTCCAGCACAGACACGATCGACGGCTCTCCTGCATTCCCATTGGATCTAGGAGCTCAACCAATCATGCTAATGCCGACGCTCTTACCGGGTTTTACAAGCGAGTGAAGTGGGACGACAACAGGACTAGAGAAAAAAAAAACCGGGTCCTGGGTAAGAGCGTGAACTGCTGATTAGCGGCACTGCCTGGTTGGGTTCCACGATTGCCCCTCGTGACCATTGGGTTAAGCTTTTCACTGTCGCGACCGCTGTCGCATGGTGTCGCGTCCGCTGCTCGCCACTGTCGCGTCCGCTGCTCGCCACTGTCGCACGTGCAACTAGCCGTCGCATCTACTACCGATGCCTCTCGCGACCGTTGCACTCGACGCTACACGCGGCCATTGCGTTGCTACTTGCTGGTCGCTGCGGGAGCTGCTAAAAAACCGCCGTCGATCTTTGCACCGACCCCAGGCGCTGCTCGCCACAGTCGCACCCATTCCGCCCTGTCGCCGTCGTGCTTGCCGTTGCTGGCCGCCATTGCGTTCGCCACACATCCCCTTGCGTTCGCCGCATCGCACCCGCTATCGCGCGCTACTGCCGCTGTCGGCCTAAGCCGATATGCACGAAATGGAGGGACGGGAGAGGGGAAAAAGAAGGGGAAATAGCGGAGGGAACCGAGTGCACCGCGCCACGGGTAGGACCCCAGGGCTGTTTGCGAGGTATGAATTGGCAAATAGCGCAAATGTTACTAACGAAGGTCAAGCGAGAAAGGTCTGGCCATGTTCGCTCCGCGCGGCTCTAACTTTGAGCCTCCGGGGAGGAAACATAAAACCGTAAGCAAGAGGAGACGGTGAGTCGTCAGGAGGAGAGGAAGGAAGACCAAGGGTCCAAAGACCATTCACAGGTGGCTGTTGCAGCGTCTGCGGCTGCTGCTGCTGCTGCTGCTGCAGCTCCAGCCGCTCCTGCGCCAAACGCTCATGCTCTGTGAGAGTACGTCGGCTTATGCCAGCCATGCATGCTTGCTTTTATTTCATTACGCTATTCCTAGCTTAGGTTTATTTTCTACATGCATGAATTGCTTGAATTCCTAGGTTCGTTGCTTTACTATAGTTATTATAGTTACAGGCACCGAACCAGGTTACGTGTACCGAACTCAAGCTATTCGGTTGCCACCGAATTGCTTTCTACCGAGTTCGGGAAGGTTCTGTTCGGGACGCTTCGCGACCCTCGGAACATTCGCGTAACACCTGGGTTACCTGCCTTGTGTCGAGCCTATATATAGCCTCGTGTTGTACCCAGGTGATCATTCAATTCAAATCATCTTTTCTGAGCTCGATCCTAGATCCTCACATGCTCTAACTGCCGAAGACGCTGAAGACGCGTCAGTTAATGGACAGCAGGCTGAGCAGGCCTCACAGAGTCAGTGCCTCCACCTCCAACACCCCCAAAACCATAACCTCCAGTGCCAATACCTCCAACTCCAACACCCCCAAAAGCACCTCCAATGCCAGCACTTCCAGCTCCAGTACCTCCAGCTCCAGCACCCTCAGAACCAGGGCCTTCAGTAGTGGTGCCTCCAGCATCAGCACCCTCAGAACCAGCACCTCCACTGCCAGTACCTCCAGCTCCAACGCGCCTTAACCAGCACCTCCAGCACCAGCACCCCCAGTCACAGTTACCTCGACACCAACTCCCTCAGAACGAGTACTTCCAGCACCAGCACCCACAGTCACAGTTACCTCGACACCAACTTCCTCAAAACGAGTACTTCAAGCACCAGCACCCCTAGAGTCAACTGCGACATGCTGCGGTAATACTAAAGGCCGCTGTGGTGACTGTGAAGACGACGGTGGTGAGGGAGACGACACAGGACGTGCTATTAAGAGAAGAGGGGTAGCGTGACACACACCTGACGGGGTAGGACCTGGGTGGGGTGGACGTATCGAAGGAGCAGGAACAGAAGGAGGAGTGGGAGCTAGGAAGAGGGGAGGGGGAACCGGGAGACCTTGGCGTAGTAGGGCACAGACTCGTCAAAGGTGATGTAAGGGAGTCGAGGAACCGGTGAAGGGACGGGTGGTAAAACTTGAAGTCAGGGGCGTTCACCGGGAAACCAAGGAAGACACAGGGAGGGTGCGAGCTGAGGGCTTGTCCACGGAGGTATCGCGGACATGCGCAAGGCAGCCCCGACCAGACACGAAATTCCGACGCAACAGCAGGGGACCCTGTCTAAAGACGAGTCGGTGAAACTCTGGGCGAGAGACACGCGTCAAGAGGTTCAGCTGGAGTGCGACGTAGCAAAACGCTTAGGGCCACAGAATATGGGGCGCACGGGCATGGAACATGGAGGTGCGGACGATCTTTATGCTGCTGTGGGGAATCTGGAAGCATCCAGGACTAGGTGATGCCCTGCGCGACAGAACCCGGCAAGCACGACGGAGTGAACTCGCCCCCACGGTTGGAGTGGAGACAAATGGCACGACTACCATGCGTGTCACTAGTGGCCAGCAACCACGGTACCAGGGTAGTAGTCACGTCGGACTTCTTCTGCAAGGGGAACACCGTGGTGTAGCGAGAGAAGTCGTCAACAACCACCAGGAAAAAGCTCTTCCCCCGGGCTTAGGGCGAGGTGCGGGGCCCCAGGCGTTCAAGTGGAGAGTTTGGAAGGGCGCAGTGGCCGGGTGAAGGGAGGAGGAGTGAGGAGTGGCGCGCTGCCGACCCTCGACGCAAAGGAGCGTACGACTGTGCTAGTGATGGAGGGAGCGACTGAAATGAGGGCGGAAGACCTGGGACAATACGACGACTAGACATGAGACGCAGGCGTGGGAGGGACAGGTGGCCAATACGGTGGTGCCACAGGACTGTCGAGTGTGTGAGCGCCTGACAGGAGCACGACGCAGCAACCTGACCATGCGCTGCCTGGGGAGACGCGGTGGGCAGTGTGAAAAGTCCAGAGCAGGACCCGCAGAGGAAAAGTGGCCAGAGGTGCCCTGATGGCACCGTCCATGCAGTTCGCAACACGCTCGTGCGGAGGAAACCAGATGCCAACACCTAGGTCGTGAAGGTGTCCAACACCCATCAAGTTCCTGGAGAACGAGGGGATGTGGAGACCAGTGTGGACACCAGAGAAAACAGTCGGGCACGGTAGCGTGGTAGAGCTGCGGGCAACTGCTAGTCCTGAAGTAAGACCAGCCAGGGCAACCGAAACCAGAGCATGAAGCGGTGTGACGCGCCAGAGTCCAGTGTAAAGGAGAGCGATGTGTCAGCCTTAGGTACCCTTGGGCTAGTAACTACACAATCACATTGACTGGAAGCACAAGCACCTGCACTAGCAACAGGTAACGATCGTGGGCTATGAACACGCGAGCACGCAGGTCCAGCAGCACAATAGTCAACATCGGCATACATCACAGAAGCAGATCGCAAGGCATCAAGCAACTCTTCTGCAGACATACCAAACAACGCCAGACCAAGAGAACGAGCAAGTGGGGCCCAATCCGGAGCGGGGCCAAGTCCGTACTGCGCGCGAAGGCGGTTCGTGAGCTACGCAATGCACTGACTCGGAGGGTGAAGACAGCCACAGAAGCCACCCTGACGTGTCCCAGTCTGACAAAGGTACGGGCAGGGAGTAGGGTCGGGACCACGCGATGCCTCACTGGGTGGGCCACCGCCCTGTCCAGCGCTCCCTGGTCCACCAGGTCCCATTGCTGGAACTGTTGGTGAACCCGCCGCTGTACCTGCTGCTGTGGCTGCTGGGGCTGTGACTGCTGCTGCTAGGACTGTTGCTGCTGCTGTGTAGTGTACCAATCAACTGGTCCAGCACCCTCTTCCGTTGGGCCTGCTGGCCCAGTATCACCTCCAGTGCTGCCTCCACTAGACGCACTAGTACCACCACTACCTCCGCCGCCTCCTCCACCACCACCGCCGCCACCACCCTTCCCCCTTTTCTTACCTCCCCTGCCTATGGTCCGCCCACTAGCGACGGAAACGGCTGCAGTGTCGTCAGAAGCAGGAGACTCAGTAGACGCAAGAGAAGCAGTAAAGGTGCGGAGCTATGGGACATTACACCCCTGAAAGGGCTGGGGAACGACATGAGCAGTAGCGGAGGTAACGGAGCGGATGTTGCTCTCGATATCCTTGAGATCCCTCTCGAGGATGTCGATAGTGAGCGCACTAGGGTGCTTCCGAAGAAGCGCATCCCGTACATGTGCAAGGCGGTCATGGGGGCTAGCAAGTGAATGTGACGTGCATGGTCAGGGGGGCGGCCGCGAGCACAGCAGCGGTACATGCAGCATGGTAGCTAGCATCCAGCAAGCGCAGGTGGGTGACAAGGTCAGCAGTTTGGTCAAACGCTCCAAGAGAAGGGGTGGAGTAATGGGACCTAATCGCATCAAATCAATCCTTGGCAGACCGTCCTGCTAAAGTGGGCTCCCTCGGTCTCGGGTAGAAGACTACTAAGAGCAAGAGAAGGCGCAGTGTCACGAGACTGCCACACCGACAGAGACGCACGTCCTTGAGCAAAGCGCTCCCGGTCCGCGGCAGTAAGCTCAGCGGATAGGTCAGTGGGGGGGTCGGGTGAAGCCATGTCACCAGACACGTGCGTCCAGAGCGTGTCACCATCCTGGTGCTGGCTCTGGAGGTACAACTCGGCGTGGAGGAGCCAGGTGGGGAACTCTAATGCTCTACCCTCCGCATCGAAACGCAAGACCCGAGAGGTCGCCATTGTGAGCGCTAGGCGGGACTAGGAGCGAAAGGCAAGAAACGGTCGAAGTTAGGGGTGAATGGATCCAGAAATACTAGTCTAGGAGCGAACGGGGCGAGGTGCGAACGAAGCCAGAAAGTATAGTCAAGGAACGACCGGAGCGGGTAACGAAAAGCAAGAAAGGCTAGTCAAGGAACGCCAGTCACAATGAGGCACGAACCTCAAACTGCACCAGGAGAGTCGACCGCGGCTGCCAGCCGCTACTAGGAACGCCAATAGTAGGAGGCATGTGGTAAACAGCAGGTACGGATGGAATGGTGGTTGTTGTTGTCGTTGCATGTGCGACTTTGACTGTCTGTGCGGAGATAACTCTAGCAACGGGAGCTAGTCTACGGGGTAGGCATGGGATAGAAGTGATTGTAGGCGTTCGTACCTTAGTCTTTTACTTGCTCAGAGATTTGGAAAGAGTTCCACTAGCAAAAGTTCACAACAATGGTACACAATGGCAAAGCAACATTGACTAAATCAGATGCTAGGTAGCAAACTGGTCGACTGCCAGCGCAGCACGGTCGACCGCGTTCCAGCACGACAAGGTCAACCACTCTCCAGCAGAGCAAAGTCGCGGTCTGCCAACGCTGCAAGTCGACGGCGTGCCAATGCTGCTAGAAGGCGGCTGCACAGCGTTGCACCCGCAGGACAGCAGTGCACCCGCTTCGCAGGTGCTCGCAGCTGGTTGGGCCCTGTGCCTCGTCGTGTGCACAGCACAGGCACCACACCGACCATGTGCCCACGTCTGCACCTGATCCTCCACGTCGACCTCGGGATACCACACTGAGGTCGGCTTCGCCAGAACTGCCTGGGCGACGATCGCGTACCTCCGTAGATCCCTGTCGCCCGGGTAACCTGGTCGACCGGGCAACCCCGTGGACCAGGCCCTTCTCCTCGTGCCCGTCGACCACCCAGGTCGACGACCACCTCCAGTCGACTACACCAGGTCGACCAACTCCAGGTCGACCACGCTCCTGGTCAACCAGCTCCAGGTCGACCAGCCCAGCTGTCAGCCGACCACACCAAGTCGGCTGCCCCATGTCGGCGTCACCAAGTTGACGCCCTCCACAGGTCGACCTTCCAAGCCGACCTCCCGAAGTCGGCGCCCTCCCAAAGTCGGCGCCATCGCAGTGACAGGTCAACCAATCCGTCAACCAGCACGTTCACTGCTGCAGGTCGGCTGCACCTCCCGCACACCCGACCACAAGGACGGCTCCGCCCAAACGAGGACAGGGCCAAACACAACTCCCGTTGACAGTACGCGCAGCTGCAGGTGCGTGCACCGCTGCTGTTGCGCGCGCGGAAGTGTGCGTGTAAGGGCAAAGGTGCGTGCAACTGCAGCTGCGGGTGCGGCAGGTGCTGCGCGCGCTGCTGCTGCTGCGCGTGTGGCTCATGCTGCACGTCTGGTTGCTGCTATGTGCACGGCTGCTGGTGAACGTGCAGCTGCTCGTATGCGGTTGCGCCCAAGGATGAGCGCGCTCCTATGCGTGTGCTGCTGCGCACGTCCGACTGTGCCCGCGACTTCACGTGCTCGACGACATGCGTGCGGTTGCGCGTGCGCGGCCGGGCGCGGCTGCGTGTGTGCGCGCGCGTGCGGCTGCACGTGCGCGGCTATGTGCGTGCGGCTGCGCGAGTGCGGCTGCGGGCGCGGGCTGTGCGTGCAGCTGCATGCGCGCTGCTGTGCTCGAGGCAGGGCAGCGTGCGAGACAAGGACGGGATGGGCAACGTGACGAGACGAGACATGCAGCTGGGCAGCGCGTGGCTGCTGGTCTAGCGCTTTAGGCATCGGGGGAGGATGGGACGAATGACGGTGCGCGATAGGAGGCTGGTAGAACGAAACTAAGCCGGCTGACGGGCTACGGTAAGTTAGGGTCCTAGGAAACAACGGAAGTAGACAGCGGAATGGTGTGCGAGTAGGAAACGGTTCTACTCCATTCCCTAGTACCGTGTTAGAGCTACTCAGTGTAGCCTGAGAAACTAATATGACATTTGACATGGAGTAAAACATTATACGAGCTTTCGTGGTATCGCCATACTCTTTAAAAATATTTGAATTGGTATACGCTGTGTAAAAGAATCATTTACTATACATCGATCTGTGGGAATAAAGAAAAATATATATATTCATCAAACATTTTCCATCAGCAAATACAAGCGAATATGAATCATACACCAATGTGAACAAGGGTTCGCGAACATTCACTATACCAAGATGTGCAAATGCTGTTCTATTGAAGGTCATCTCTCGTCTTTCTGCTCTCGTCCAAATACTCACAGTGACTGTGCGATAACGCCTGCTCCATGCCATTCTCATCTATACCGTTTGTTTTAGAAATTTGAGTCGCGGGTGCAACAGCTTCTTCACCTGTGCTGCATTCTTCTACGCTATTCATCAAACATTTTCCATCAGACTTTTCCTCTCCTTTATATACTTCCACCAAACGCAGCTGCATTACACCTCGCATAATTTCCCATACATTCCTTTTCACCTCTCCAACATTCTCCTCTTCCATTCCACTCTGTTGAATTACATCATGTGTCGCTTGCTGCTGATTTTCCTGCACACCACACTTCCACTTTTTCACTTCTAGCATCTCGCCATTGTTCACAGCCTCCATCATCACCTCTTCTCTTACCTCCCCATCCACCTTTTCAACTATACCTTCTTCACCTGTGCTGCATTCTTCTGGACTTATACCTTTTCTATCACGCAGTTTGTTTCTCCCTACCTCCACACTTCGCTGCACCACTTTTCCCACAATCTGCCACTCCTCCTCTTTCCCCTCAGCATGCTTCCCTCCCTTACCTTCACTCGCTTGCGTTCCATCACCCATCTCTTGTGGCACATTTTCTTGCACACCACCCTTCAACACTTCAACCTCTAACGTTTCGCCCATTTTGCCAACCTCTTTCATTACCCCCTCTCCCACCTCCCCATACAACCCCTCAACAATTTCTTCGCAACCCCCTTCATTCACCACTTCCACTACCCCCCGTCCCATTTCCTCATTCTTCCCCTCCCCTACACCCCATCCCCACTCTTTAATAGCCTCCTCACTTACAGCCTCTCCCTTCTTGCCACAGACCTCCCCACTGCCCTCTCCAGCCCCGTCCCGTCCCATTAACCCACTCCCAGCCACTTCCCTTCCTCCCACCCCACTTCGAGCCACTTTCCCTCTCCCAACCCCACTCCCAGCATCTTCCCCTCTCCCAACCCCACTCCCAGCCCCTTCCCCTACCCCCACCCCACTCCCAGCCCCTTCCCCTACCCCTACCTCACTCCCAGCCCCTTCCCCTCCAACTACCTCACTCACAGCCTCTTCCCCTCCCCCTACCCCACACCCAGCCATATCCCCTCCCCCCACTTCACACTTATTTCCGTCCACTTCACACGCCACCAGCCGCTCATCATGCTGCAGCTTCGGCTGCGCAATGCCTGCTCGGGGTATTGCTGTTTCATGCAGAGTGCATTGAAGAGCACCGCTGTGGCCGTTGCTGTGGGCAAGGCAGTGAGAGGGAGAGGGAGATGGTTGAGAATGAGTGAGAGAGGGGGGATGGAGTGAGAGAGGGAGTGACAGAGAGGAACAGAGGGAGCGAGAGAGCGGGTGACGGACAGATGAAAAGAGGGAGTGAGAGAGGGGTTGCACGAAGGCTCTGCACTGGAAAGAAGAGCAAGACAAGAAAACGAAAGGCTGGGAGGTGTGGAGAGGCGAGGGCAGGGAGGCACACACCTGAGCTCAGAAGAGGTGGAAAGCTGGTGCTGGAGCGAGCGTGCAGCGGCAGCATGCTGCTGGGCCACCTTGCCTCGCCACTCCAGAGCCACCTCGCACTCCTCTACCACCCTCCGCCTGCTCTCCGCCTCCTCCGCGCTCCGCCCACACGCCTCTTCCAAGCTGGCTATCTGGTGAACGAAGAACCGTAAGGGGAGAGGATGGGAGGTGGGCAATGGGCATTGGCAAAGAGGCTGTGACCGCTGGGAAGGCATGGGAGGGATGGGAGGGGGGCGTAGGGAAGAGCTGGCGTGGATGGGAAGGGGGAATCCAGTCAGCTCCAAACACTGCAGGGTCCGTGCAGTTGCCTACTCCAAGCTTTCTACACGTTGGTGCCACCAGTCTGATAGAGCACCTGGTTTGTGCCATGTGGTCGATCGACACATGGCTGCAACGTTAGGATTCAACACCTGAGAATGATACAAACTCCAGTGGCCTCTGTAGAAAGTACATTGTGCATAAAAATCGGTGGTAACCAGTTCCAGTGAACAAGCCCCCCTCCGCACCTCCAGCTCGTGTTGCGCCGCCAGCTGTCGGATGCGCGCCACCAGTGCCTGCACCTCGGCCTCCTTCAGCTGCACCAGCTGCACCGCACTGAAAACCTTCTCCTCCAGCTCCAGGCGCTGCTTCGTCTCGCGCTCCAGTGCCAATGACAGGTGCTGCTTGCTCTTCTGCTCCTCCACCCAAAGCTCCTTCAGCTGCGAGGATTCAATGCGGGCCTCCACCAATTGGTGCGACATCTGATGGACAAAGTTGGGGGGGAGAGGAGAGGGGTGCGTGTGTGGGGTTGAGTCGACTCGTAGATCATTTGCAGTTATCTGATGGACCAGGAAGAGGGGAGGGGGGGGAGAGGGTGGGTGCGCGAACAAGCGGGTGGGAAGAAGCAAAGGAAGGCATGGGAAGAGGAAGGGCAGGAGGCGGAAAGACAAAAAGATGAAAAAAACCACAACATGCTGCATTCTGTAGGTGTCTCTTGGATCACTTCAACAGGAGCTCACTGCCAGGGCTCCCACCCTGAAGAGAGTCCAGCCACCCAAGGACGCGCACCCTCATGCAGAACAGCAGGGGGGTTATGAGAATAGCAGAACAGCGAACCTCAACACCACACGGGACCTCTCACGCACTCCTCTCATGCACGCCTCCCAAGACTCAAAGCCCCCTCGGCCCAGGCAGCCCCCCCCTCAACAGCCCGCGACTTGTGAAGCCCAACCAGTACCACGCGGCACAACAAGATGCAGTTTGCAGAGGGCCTGCGATTAGGAGGTGCTTGCGCCTTGTAAGCCCCAAGACCCAAAGGCCCCTGGCTCACCTCAACAACTCGCGCCTGTGCTGCCTGTGCTGCTTGTGCCGCCTGCGCTGCCTGTGCCGCCATAGCCGCCTGCTCCCGCATGCGCATCAGCCGTGGTTCCTCCACCACCTCCCTCCGCCGCCGTACCTGCACCTTCAAGGCCTCCTTGCCTGCCACACACGCACAAGCACAGAGTTCAGTGCACACGGGCACACACACGTCGCGCATGTTCCATGGACACATGGGTCATTGCACCCACACACGCACATGGACGGGAGAACTCAACTTAAGGACGAGGTAATCGCTGCCACCTCTCCAACCAGTCCACCCTCCCCCGTCCTCCTTTCCCCATCTCTTCCCCCCCCATCTTATGCCGTGTCTCACCTTTGGAGCACCGTTTAAGCACACTAACGTCCTGCTGAGTTGCCAGGTAACCCAAAACAGGTTCCCCTTTCCCGGCCAATCAGTCCACCCTCCCTCGCCCTTCACCTTCCCCCAACCCCCCCCCCCCCAACCTCATGCAACAGTCCACCTTTGCAGCACCGAATGAATTCTCAAATCCTGCTGAGACGCCAGGTACTTTTGAAACGTCTCAAAAACACCCTCATTTCAAGTACCCAACCAGCACGCACGCCCCTCTCCCCACTAATCCGTCCCCCACTCATCCACCCAACCCACCTGTCCTTCCATCCCATCCCATGCCCTGCCTCACCGTTCTGGTACCGGTTGAACTCAGCAACGTCCTGCTGAGTCGCCAGGTACCCAAACAGGATGCGCTTGCCCGACCCATCCACCAACGGGGCACCCCGCTGCCCCCGCTGCCCCCGCTGCGCCAGCTCCCAGCGCCCGCGGCCCTCGCGCTCAAACTGCTGCGCCAGGCGCTCCACCATCCAGTTGCCTTGAGGGTGCACCACCACCCACACCACCCACACCACCAGCGGCAGCAGCGGCAGCAGCGGCAGAGGCAGCAGCAGCGGCAGCAGTGCTGTACCTGCCGCCACCAGCTCCCCTAGCCCCCGTAGCAACAAGGGCAGCGGCAGCCGCGCGGGCCCTATCAGAGGCGCCGACATTGCTCCCACCGCCAGAGAGCTCCATCTCGAGCTCGCTCACAGGGGGCATGGACTCACTGCCGCCCTCCCCCGGTGCTGACAGGCGCAGCACGCTGGAGTGCGGCTCTGACTGCGCGCAGTACCCCGACTGCGACCAGGCTGACACCCCCTCTCGCGCCATGCCCCCCCTGCCGACCACCGTGGGGAGTTGCGGCTCCTCCACCCCTGGCCCAGCTGTAGCACCGGTTGCAGCATTTGCTTGTGTTAAAGCAGCACCACTTGCAACACTCGCAGGGCCATCCTGGTCTAGGCTACCGCCCGCTTCCACCCACTCCTCCGTCCTGCTATTTGCAATCCCTCCCTGCTCCCCACTGCCGCCCACACACCTCCCCACGCTCCCACCGCAATTTGCGCCATCTGCGCTGCCGCCGACCAACCCCTGGCCTCCACGTGGCGGAGAATTACACTCCCCGCAAATAAAAGTGCCTGCGCCCATGCCCATGCCCACCCCCGCTATCGCTGGACCAGGTACGACGGCGTGGTCAAGAGCGGTGCGGGGCGGCACGGCAGCAGACGCCAAAACGGATTGGGAGCGCGATGGGAAGGCGGCGGATGGGGCAGAGGCGGGCCACGACACTCCTTCGTCTCCGTGCGACAGGCTGGAAGGACTCGCGAAAGCTGGGGATTGGTCGAGGGAATCAGTGAGAGGGGGGGTAGGGTGGGGTGGCGCAGGGGAGAGAACTCCGGGGACAGAGACTGTGGAGATGGGGGAGGTGAGGGCGGGAGAAGGGGAGGGGGGCGAGGGGGTGAAAGAGGGGGTGGATGCGCAGATGAGAGAGGGAGCATGCGCGCGGATAGAGGAGGGCGCATCTGCGGGGAGGAACTTCCTGTTGGCATCAACAGGAATGGGAGCGGAGGAGACCGCGGGGAGGAAGGAGGGCGCCTCAGCTCTCAAGGGAGTGGGCGGCAGAGTGATAGCAGGCGCAATAGTCGCCACCGCAGTCGCCACTCCAGGCGCCCCACCCGTGCCCGTGCCCATGCCCGTGCCCGCTCTCCCCCCTCCAAGCGCCGCCTTACCCGCTGCTCCCGCCTTCAAACTCGCGCGCTCCGCGTCAGCGGCCGTCCCTCCACTCCACCACGCGCCCTCGCCTAAGCCCCCCCCGCGCTCCTCCCGCTCATTGCTCCTCCCAGTAGCGCCACCTGCAACGACACCAGCAGCACTAACAGCACCGGCACCAGCACCGCCAGTGATCACGGCAGCACGGCTCGACTCGCCGCTGCTCCTCTCCCCCATGGAAGCCCCAGCCTCCGCGCTCCTCTCCCACGTGGAAGCCCCAGCCTTCGCGCTCCTCTCCCCCATGGAAGCCCCAGCCTCCGCGCTCCTCTCCGCCCCTCCCTTCGCCCCCCCACTTGGCGCCTCAGCTTGCTTCCCGCCAATCCGCTTGCTGGGCGGCACGTACCTGCCGGAGGTCCGGTCAGAGCCTCTGATGCTGGGCGCAACATCCCCCCACTCTGCGCCCTCTTTCCCCCGTACTGCTCTGGCGCTACCCCTGTTGGCGCTGCTCCTACCGCTGCTGCTCTGACAGCCCCATTGGCTGCTGAGGTCTGACTTGGCGTCGGACCAGGCGGCGCTCACTACACTCGCGTCCTCGTTAGTAGCTGTCCTCCTGGGACGCACACTAGCGGAGCTGAACTGGCTGATAGAGTCGTCGTCCTTGGCTTTCCCCACGGAGCCTCCCCATTGCTGCTGCTGCAACGTCAGTGCTTGATTCGAAAACTGCTGTTGTTGCGGCTGCTGCTGCGGCTGCTGCCAGTTGAGCCTCTGCTTCTCAGATTGAACCGCTTCTTGCAGATTGACCGACGCCTGCTTCCCCAACTGCGCCTGCTGCCCCATCACCTCGCTGCCGGCCCCCTCGCTGCCGCGGCCACTGCCCACGCTCGCCTCCAGCTCACCCTCCTCCGCATCCCAAAACTCATCCTCCCCCTTCTGTCCCTGCCGCCCCTCCCCTCCCTCTTCACCTGCCCCGCGTGATTCCTCTCCCTCTTCTTCCGCCCTCCCCCCTCCCATAGCGCTGTCCGCTTCCTTCCCGCCACCGCTGCCACCAGTCCCGCCACTGTCACCGCCGTCCCCGCCATCCCCATAACCACCATCGCCGAAACCATCACCAGCAGGGTTACCCCCTTCGCCACTCTCCCCTTCCGCATATTCTCCTCTCGCATAATCCCCCTCTCCATATTCTCCTTCCGCGTCTTCCTCCTCCTGATACCCCCCCTCGCCGTACTCCCCCTTCCCGTACTCCCCTTCGCCATAACCACCCTCCTGAAAACCCCCGCCGTTATCCCAAGCAGCAGCGTCAGCAGCAGCAGCACCAGCGACCGTAGCCATAGCCCTGGCAGCTACATCAGCGACAGCAGGCGCGCCTGTGGCAGCAGCGGCACGCAACGCAGCAGTCTCCACAGGCGCGTCCTTCCACCCGATGATGTCACCCCACCCATCCCGTATCGGCACCTTGCCAGCTATCTGCCCCTCCACGCCACCACTGATCGCCACCGTAGGGCGGGCAACTGCAGCTGAAGGCTCAGCAGCGCTGGCAGCCGCGAGGAACTCAGCAGCCGCAGAGAAGCCAGCAGGCGCCGTGGCGGCAGGTGCAGGAGTAGCAGCCACGTCAGAGCCAGCGGAAGCAGACGCGTTTGCACCCCGAGGAGCAGGACGCCTGGAGTTGCTAACACGCCACGTGCTGGCGTTGGATCCCACAGCCGCAGATCCCACAGCCGTAGCAGCAACAGGAGCAGGAGCAGCAGACGCAGAAGCAGCAAGGGGAGCGGAGTACATGGAGACATTCGAGCGCCACCTGCTGGCGTGGCTCGAGTTAGACGGGGGGTGCGCCGCCTGTGGCAGTCCATGGCTGGCGAATCCACGCTCCACACGTGAGGGCCGGCACGGACGCAAGGCAGAGGCCGTTGCACGTGGTGCTGCCACCAGCCCTGCTCCCTGTGCCGCTCCTCCTCGTCCTCCTCCTCCTACCCACGAGCTTGCACTTGAACCTGCTGCTGCTGCTGCTGCTGCCGCGGAGGCTGGTCGCCGTGGTGCTGCTGCAGAAGAAGCTGGCGCCTGGGCTTGCGGCGGGGGCAGAGAGGGCGCGCCAGACGGCCCACGGACTGCCAGCGGCGCTGCAGCCTGCTGAGCCGCTGGCCCATGCGCGCTGCCCCACGGTGCATGCCCCTTAGCTTGCGCCGCATGCCTCTCCCCCTCTCCCTGCGTGTGTGCTTGCCGCTGCCGCTGCCGCTGCCCCTCCTCCCACCGCCCTCCTGCATGCGCCTGCTGCCCGAATCCCTGCCTCGACCTCGGCATCGAACCTTGAGGCGGGTTCTTCGGCCCCTGCCAACCCTGAGGGGCAGCGTTCAGCCTCTGCCAACCCTGGGGCAATCGGTTCGGCCCCTGCCAAGCCTGAACCGGCAATTGGTTCGGCCCCTGCCAAGCATGACCCGGCAATTGATTCGGCCCCTGCCAAGCCTGAACCGGCAAAGGGTTCGGCCTCTGCCAAGCATGCGGATGTTGTTCGTGCTGATTCCATTTTTGGTTTTTCCTCTTCTTCTCACCCGCCTTCACTGCCCCTTCCGCTGCAATTGCTGCCGCTGCTGTTGATACTGCTCCTCCTGCTGCTGCTTCTTCACTTGCGACCAGCGTCGCCGCCTCTTGCAACCCTGCCGCGACGGCGCTTGTGGTGGGGGAATCCCATTCCGAAACGTCCCACGAGCTGTCCTTGTCGCGCCAGGACTCCGCGTCCGTGCCGTCGGACTCGCTCGCCCAGCGCTCCTGCGTCAGTCGCACGGCACTGTGCTGTCGCCAATACTCCGCCGGTTCGATTGATTCTGCAGCCGTGCCAGTGCTGCACACGCTGGCCAGGTCGTCCATAACGGATCAGATCTCCAGGCGGACGCGGGATCCTGCAGGAACAGCGACGACCTCCGGATGATACGTGCTTTCCTCCAGATTAGAATGAAGGAAAAAAACTGCTCCTCTCCAGTGAGGGATTCCTGCCATCAATAGAGGTGAGAGCAGGTCGATCAAACAATAGAGCTGAGTGGCCAAGCAGTCACGAGAGCTGGCGCTGAGAGCTGGCGCTGAGCCAGGCCCTCAGCGCCAGCCCTCTTGATGCTCCCTGGAACCTGGAGTTCTTATGCAGAGCTGTATACCCGCTGCGTTGGGCCAGATAGCGTCGCCAAATTTCCCTGCCATCAAAGTTTCCCCACGAGGGTTGCAATTTGGGCGGGAAGGTGTCCAGATTGGGGTAAAGTGGCGGTCTGGCAGGACACTGCGCTCATGCGATGCGACCCGCGCGACCCAATGCGATGCGACGCGATTCGTTGGTGCACAATGGCGTTCAGGCCCAATCGATTTTCTGCAGAGCAGACATGCCAGTCGCGCAGATTGGCCGAACACAGCGACACGTGTTTCTACAGCGGCATTTGGTGGCGAAATCGAGCGCATCGACCCAAATTGTGGGCAAACATCAAACTCTGGCCGAAAAACAGCAGTGAAGTAGCCAGAGTGGCCGGGGCTGCCAAAGTGGCTGGGACGACAAATTCGATCGGCCTCGTACAGTGATGCGCAATGGGTTAATAACGTTGACAAATCCTTACAAATCCTTACTCTAGCACTCGTTGTTAGAGTTAGAGAGGATTTACTGTTCACTTTGAACAGTACTTTCCAACTCACCCTCACCTTATCTTCTTTGATTTCCTAGTGCCACGTGGCACTCTAGCTTTCTTGCATTCCAATTCTTAGTTCCACAAACCACTTTCCCACAATTGTTCTTGCATGTTAGTGTCAAATGTTGAACATTGATATGATAGGCTGTAGTGAGTTGCACTCTAGGGGGTACAGTTTCTAGGGTTGCTTATTTGTACCCCATTCGTTTCTATTCCAACCATTCCGTTGCTAACCACTCTTGAGATGGTATCACGAGCAGGACCGTTCCTAGCCCATTCCTAGCCTAGTGTTCACCCTCCGCGCCCTTCGCGCCTAGCTCGCGCCCTCCGCGCCCTCCGCGCCCTCCGCGCTTAGCTCGCACCTCCGCACCCATTGTGCCTCCGCGCCTAAACCGCGCCACTCCACCCTCCGCGCCTAGCCCGCGCCCTGCCCCTAGCCCGCGCGACGCCCGTAGGCTCTGCCCCAGCCCGTCGCGACGCCCGTAGGCTCTGCCCCAGCCCGTCGCGACGCCCGTAGGCTCTGCCCCAGCCCGTCCCGACGCCCGTAGGCTCTGCCCCAGCCCGTCGCGACGCCCGTAGGCTCTGCCCCAGCCCGTCGCGACGCCCGTAGGCTCTGCCCCAGCCCATCGCGACGCCCGTAGGCTCTGCCACAGCCCGTCGCGACGCCCGTAGGCTCTGCCCCAGCCCGTCGCGACGCCCGTAGGCTCTGCCCCAGCCCGTCGCGGCGCCCGTGCGCCCTGCCCGTTGCCCACGCGCGGCCCGTACACCCTAGCCCGTCGCCCCAGCCTTCGACCTAGCCCGTATTCCCACCGTCAAAACGCCCTCCCCGCCCATTCCCACCATCAAAACCGCCCTCCCGCCCATTCCCACCATCAAAACCGCCCTCCCGCCCATTCCCACCGTCAAAACCGCCCTACCCGCCCATTCCCACCGTCAAAACCGCCCTCCCCGCCCATTTCCACCGTCGCAAACTCCCCCCCCGCCCCTCTCTTCCTGTTACCCACCCTTGGCACGCGCCCTAGCCCCGCCACCGCCTTGTGCGCGGGGCCCTCGCTGCGTCTTGCTCCTGTCGCTCTCTCACCCACCGCACCGTCCTGTGGCACCACCGCCTTGGCCACCCGTCGCTCCCTCGCCTACGTGGCATGCTCAGTCAGGGACTTGTCTCAGGTCTCCCACGCACCTTCCCGTCGCTCCCTCTCTCGCCTGCCCCTCCTTGCTCTCCGTGCGTCGCCGGTCACTTACGCGCCACTCCCCACTCCTCCTCCCTTCGTCCGGCCACCGCTCCCTTCGAGACTCTCCACTTGGACGTCTGGGGCCCTGCCCCGACGCAGGGGTCTGGGAGGGAGCGTTACTTTCTGGTGGTCGTCGACGACTTCTCCAGGTACACCACAGTGTTCCCTCTTGCGAAGAAGTCCGAGGTGACTGCTACGCTGATCAGGTGGCTTCTAGCCACTGAGGGCACTTGTGGTCGTCGAGTCAGTTGTCTCCACTCCGACCGTGGGGGCGAGTTTCGCCCCGGCATTCTCGGCGGATTCTGCGGCGAACAGGGCATCACCCAGTCCTGGACGCTGCCAGAGTCCCCACAGCAGAATGGGGTTGCTGAGCGCCGCATAGGCTTGGTCATGGACATCGCCCGCACGTCCATGATCCATGCCCGTGCGCCCCATTTTCTGTGGCCCCACGCGGTTCGCTACGCCGCACACCAACTGAACCTCCAGCCGCGTGTCTCGCGGCCCGAGGTTTCACCGACCAGTCTTTGGACTGGTTCCCCTGGTGTCGGGTCGGCCTTTCGAGTCTGGGGCTGCCTTGCACTTGTTCGCGACACCTCCGCGGACAAGCTCTCGGCACGCGCCGTCCCCTGTGTCTTCCTTGGTTTCCCAGTGGACTCTGCCGACTGGTCCTTTTACCACCCTCCCCTCCACCAGTTCCTAGACTCCCGTGACGTCCGGTTTGACGAGTCCGTGTCCTACTACACCCGGTACCCCTGTCGAGGTCTCCCGGTACCCCCTCCCCCTCTTTTCCTCGCACCCTCTCCTCCTCCTGCTCCCGCTCCTCCGGTACCCCCGCCCCCCCCTGGTCCTGCCCCGTCTGGTGTGTCCCACGTTACCCCTCTACCCTCGGTCGCGCGTCAGGTAGCGTCTCCCTCCCCGCAGTCCTCCTCACAGTCCCCTCAGCAGCCTTCGGCACTTCCGCGACAGGTTACTGTGGACTCGGTTGGTGTTGGAGCTGGAGGTGCAGCCACTGGCGGTGCTCGGTCTGGGGGTACTCGGTCGCGGGGTGCTGGAGCTGGAGGTGCTGGCGCAGGTGGCGCTAGCTCTGGGGGTGCTGGAGCTGGAGGTGCTGGCGCAGGTGGCGCTAGCTCTGGGGGTGCTGGAGCTGGAGGTGCTGGCACTGGTGGTGCTAGTTCTGGGGGTGCAGGAGCTGGAGGTGCTGGCACTGGCGGTGCTAGTTCTGGGGGTGCTGGAGTTGGAGGTCCGGGCACTGGAGGTGCTGGTTTTGGGGGTGCTGAGTCTGAGGAGTCTGACCCTGGTTCTGCGGAGTCCACTCCGCCTCCCCACCGCCATGACACACGACTCCAGGCTGCCCGCCGGCGTGAGCGTGAGGAGCAGGAGCGGTTGGAGAGGGAGCGGCAGGAGCTGCGGGTGCTGGACCTTCTGGAGCAGCAGCGGCAGCAGCAGCAGCAGCAGCAGCAGCAGCAGCAGCAGCAGCAGCAGCAGCAGCAGCAGCAACAGCAGCAGCCGCAGCAGCAGCCGCAGCAGCAGCAACCGCAGCCGCAGCCCCCGCCGCAGCAGCAGCAGCCGCAGCCGCCACCGCAGCTTCCTCTGGAGCGGCGGTTGTTCCCACCTGTGAGTGGCCTGCGGGCCCTTGGTTTTTCCTCCTCTCCTCCTGTCCGCTCCCAGTCTCCTCCTGTGTTTGTTCCTCCGTTGCCTCCTCCTGACGACCGTCCGGCGGTCTGGTCTTCTCCTCCTCCCCAGTCTCCTCCTCCTTCGGTCCGTCGCGACTTGGTCACTCGTTGTCCTCCATGTGCTCGTCACTCGTCCCCTGTTACTGACCTCCACACTGCCCTCCTTTGTACGTCTCGTTGTCGTTCTCCTTCTCCTGTGTCCGTTCTCCCGTCTCCTCCTCCGTCCTCTCTCCCAGCCCTCCCCACTCCTATCACTGACTACTACCGCACTGTTCGTCCTGTTGCCGCACGTGTCCTCGCCACTCTTGTCACCGACTCTCGTTTCCCTCCGTCGTCTGCCTCCGCTCTTACTGCCGCTGTCGCTGAGTTTGCTGCCGCCAGCCGCCTTGACTACGCCACCCGTGTGGTGCCAGCTCCTCCCTACCGTCCTCTGTCCGTCGGGGGTGGGTTTGCCCTTGGCTGTGACGTCCTAGAGGACAGAGAGTCTGAGCTGGAGTACTGGGCAGCCGCTTCTCCCTCTGTGTGTGCCATGCTGCTCTCCCCTGAGGGAGACCCCGACGCCCTTGACATACCGACTCCTCGCACTTACCGCGAGGCAGTGTCAGGGGCGTGGGCCTCTCAGTGGAAAGCGGCTATGGACTCAGAGTTGGCGTCTTGGAGATCCACAGGCACCTACGTCGACGCTGTTCCCCCTCCCAGGGCGAACGTAGTCGATGGCATGTGGCTCTTCAAGG